GAGCAGAGCCACTTACTGTTTTAAGGCTCCTGCTGAGACCCGGATCAGCAGCTCCAGCCACATACTGATAAGGCACAGTGGGATCAGGGGCCACACAGAGGCCTGGAATTTCCTTAGAGCCCTGTTCCTCCATAGACAATCCAATGTCCTAGTCTAATGTCATCATATATCCTGGTCCTTGCTTAGGCAAAGGCCCATGGCCCCAGGCCTCAGAGTGGATATTCTCTCCTTTCAGTCTATTTCTGCCTATCCTGATTCTGCTATTTTCCTCCAGGAAGGCTTCTCTGAATATACACTGACCAAGGCACTTCCCTCTTGCCCAGGCTCCTCTGAGCACCTGGAAACAGGCACCAGGCTGACAGATGTGCTCTCAGGAGCCCTCTTCAGCCCAGCTCAGATTGCTCTGCTGGGTAATTGTGTGTATACTTGTGGGAAGGGGGAGGCCCTGTGTACATGCGGTGTCTATTGCCAACCTCAGTCCCTGCCTCCTTCCCCAGAGCCCTATGAGGAATAGAGTTGTGGGATCTTACACTGTAGCACCCGGTGGGGGGGCTAGCTCAAGAAACTGATGACGTTGCTTGGTCTGGAGAAACGCTGGGGTGTTGGAGGCCAACTCTGGACATGCTGCAGAGGAAGGACAGGGTCATAGGCAGTTCAGGGAGGACAATCTCACCCAGTCCTGCAGATCCAGTCTCCTTATCCTGTTTCTCAAGGGCCCCAGCTAGCTCTAGCCAACCAGGTCTCACTGGCCTCCAACATCACCAGTGCCCAGAAATGACCCAGGCAAGCCCTTTCTATGTGCCAGGGCCTGAAAACAGTTCCAGCCACCCCCAATGCCTACAGTCTCTTACCTGTCCTACCAGAGATGTCCTCATCCCCTTTAGATTCTTCTGGCTCCTCAGTCTCAACAGCCCCCTGGAATCCCTCTGATTCTGTCACCTCTGTGTGTCCTCCAGGCTGTTCTGCCCTGAAAGGTCCTTGTGATCCTGTTGTTTCCTTCACTTCACTCATGCTTAAGCCTTCTTCTTCTTCCATCTTTTTCTCTGCCTCCTCACCAACTCCATCCTGTAAGGGCTCTACTGCATCTCCAGAGATACTATTGCTGGTGTTCGGGAAGCCCAGAGCAAGGGCATTGACCTCCTTTGCCTTTCTTGCCAGAAACTGAGCTGGTTTCTCAGGGCCTGTACAAAGGAAAGCAAATAGTGTCTATAGAAGCAGCAGGCCACGCCCCAGGAAGGGTAAAGACAGACTGGCAAACCCAGGCCTGCCCACTGTGGTGACAAAGCCAGAGGCAGCACCAGGACATGAATTTGGAGTCTCCCAGTCTATCATGGACTCTGCTCTCAGATGGGTGAGGGACCTATAGCCAAAAGGCTCTGGGGACACACATGGACTTGAGGAAAGAAAACCACCACTGCGAAGACTCACCCAAGCTAAGCTCCAGGCCACCTGCTCCACATACTCACTGCTGTTCTGCAGCCTAGACCCACTGCTCCATGTCCTGGGACTGGCAACCCGCTCGGTATCTTCAGCCCCCGTGTGAGAGGGGAGGGGTTGGGAGCCGTGCATACTGGGGGAGCAGCCAGCCAAAGGCTGGGAGAAGGGCTGGGTGTCCTCCAACACAATGTCTGTTGGTAGAGTAATAACAGGGCTTCTGAGGTTGTCACCTGAAGATCAAGGGCCAGCTGGTACTCAGTGTATGCCACTCTGCTGCTACCCAGAGTTACCAGGACATGGACAGTGGGCCCCATGGGTCTGCCCTAAATAGCCTTCAGGGAGGAGATCTAGCCTGTAAGCCTTACTTCTCTTCTACAGTTCTCCTTGCTTGCCTTCCTGTTCCTTAGCCTGATATTCCCAGGCCTCCACAGCTGTGCCCACCCCCAGGCACTCACTCATGCCTCTGTTCTCTGCTTCTCACTCTCCTTCTGCCCAGAATGCTTCTATTACCCTGATGAACTTGTTTTCTGCAATCAGGTTCCCAGCTCTCTAATTGACCAACTGACCCTAAAACCTGGTCCCTTTCAACCTCCAATAAGCTTCAACCATCATATCATATTCCTTTCCTACCTTCAGCTCTACAGCTCCTCAAGGATGTGGGGTCTTGGGAAACACTAAGGAACTAAGATTGGGCCCACCAAGGCAAAGGCACCTTGTGGAAAGAAAGCAGAAATTCCTTACAGACCTATTGACTAGGCTCACTCACTGTTCTTGACCCCACCAAGAAAGGGGCAACTCTGACTCAGCAGCACCTCCCATCTGTCATATGAGAACAGCTTTCCCCAAACCTCAACCTTACTTGGAGGAGCCAAGTTAGTGTCACGCAGATCCTGCAAAAAGGCAGCCACATCTACAGATCGGTGAGTGGGAGGTCTGCGAGCCAAACCAGGCCTGTGCACTGACTGTGGCTGGAGAGGTGTGGCAAAGGTCAGGTTGAGGGAGCTGGTGAGAGAAGGGAGGCACAAAGAAAGTCAGGTACCTGAAGCTCAGTTTTCCTGTATGATTCTCCCATCAGCCCTGGGTTGTCATGCCTTAGAACATGCCATGAGGCTAAAGGTGGGAGGGAGCAGTATGGCCAGATTCCATCTCAGTCAGCAACTCTCTCTCTAAACCTTTTCTTTCTTTCTTTTTTTTTTTGAGACAGAGTTTCATTTTGTTGCCCTTGGTAGAGTGCCATGGCATCATTGCTCACAGCAACCTCAAACTTTTGGGCTCAAGCGATTCCCTTGACTCAGCCTCCCAAGTAGCTGGGACTACAGGCACCCACCACGATGCCCAGCTAGTTTTAGAGATGAAGTCTTGCTCTGGCTCAGTCTATCCACCTGCCTCGGCCTCCCAGAGTGCCCAAGCTTTTTCTTTACCAATCCCCAGAACAGGCATCAGCACCTGGCAAGGGATGAGGCATCAGGATTCCCACGAGGCTCTATCAGTGACCGGCAAGAAAAATGTAAAAAGAAGAAACCATAGGAAGTTATTGAAACATTTGAGAGTTCTCTCTCAAGCCTCCTCAGGCACTCCAGAAGACAGGAGAGAGAAGGTAACAACAGGTAGTGTCCAGGGCCTCACCGTGGGAGAGAGGCAGGCCCTCGTCCACTCCCTGCTGAAATACATATAGTCTCAGCCTCTGCTTCCTCTTGCCAGGGGCCAGCAAACCTTGAGGCAGGGGTGCAGGGGGCTCAGGCTCAGGAAGTTGCAATTCCAGGCTATAAGGATGAAGCTTATCTTAGACCAAGAAGATCAATTCTGGCTTTTTTTTTTTTTTCTTCAGTTTTTGGCTAGAGCTGGATTTGAACCCACCACCTCCAGCATATGGGGCCAGCGCTCTACTCCTTTGAGCCATAGGCGCTGCCCCAATTCTGGTTTTTGGGACTCCCTAAGAAGCTCCTTGACCAGAGCTTCCCATCCTCCCAGTCCAAAGGTGGGGTTGACTGCATACCTGCCTTGACTGCTTTTCCGTCTAGAAGGCTGGGCTACTTGTGCCTCTGGCACTGGCTTTGCCACTGACTCCGGCATCAGGATGGAAGATTCTGGGGCTGTAGAAACACGAAGGAGACAGTGAGGCTGAGGAACAGGCTGCCCTGAATGAGTGTACGACTTGTGTAGGACTGGCACCTGACTTTGACTGGCAGGCCAGCATGCACTTACCAGTTAGTAAGATGTTATTCAGCAGAGTCCGAGGTGTCTGTTCCTCCAGGTGCCCACTGGTTGGAGCATGGGGCAATCTGCTAACAGACTATGGGCAAAAGCATCAAGCAACCAATCTGTTCATTTTCTGTGAGATTTCCTCTAGGTGGACTCCAAAACAGAGCTAGACCACAGAGTCCCCTGAGGGCAGCCAAGGCCCTGTCATGCTGGTCACTTACCTTGGCTCCCGAGGAATGCCATCTGGCAGTCGTCTTTCTTTGGCTGCTCAGCCTTCTGGAGGAAGGTGTTTCAAGCAGGGATCTCTGGGCACTGTGTAAAGGCCAGCAGCTTTAAGAATGTGTGTGTGTGTGGTGGGGTAGAGGATACAAAGACATGCCTTCATCAGAGGTCTTTATCTGAAGCCCTTTTCTATCAGGGCCAGGGACCCAGAAACCACTTGGTCCTCCTAGAGCTCCTGTTCCCAGCCCTATGTCAATGGGGGTTGGGGGGAGTGGATAAAAATGAGACCTGGGGTATGGGAAGAAAGAGGGAATATGATTGAACCACCCAGAAGGAAGATCCGAGAAAGGCTTCACAGAGGTGACTTTAACAGAATCATAATGGATAAGTAGGGATTAGCCACGGAGAAAAGAGCAATTGGAAGAGCATCCATTCTAGACATTAAAATAATAATCCAACAAAGATATTTAAGTGTTTTTAAACCGTTTAAGTACTTTAAATACTTAAAAAGGGTCTGACAGCAATCCCTCTCAGATTCCAGGGCCACATAAACGATCCCAGAATACAGTTCCCACCTCAACACGGGTAATTTTTTAAACCTATGCTGACTGGATGTCCATTCCCTATAAACTGGAACCACACTGTCCCAGTCTGGCAGATGCCAACTTCTGCATCTACTGCACGTGAGCTCACCACAGTCCTCACCCAACCCATATTCCCACTAAGTCAGACCAAATTCCCTGCTACCCCACAAAGCAACTTTCCAATTCCTGCCTCCCAGCTTCTGCCCAGGCTGTGCTAGCTAGCTGCTTCCCAGCTGGACGCTAGCTACAGAGACCGTACGAATGAATGTGCAGGGATGGTGCGGACCACTTGGACACAACCTAGGCTGATTTGGGGAAACAGCCTACAGAGCAGAGGATTAGGTTGTGAGCGCCTGCCCTTCACCTCCAGAGGCCGACTGCTGAAGACCTTGTGGCCCCAAGGCCTGGCTGCCTGGAGCTTTAGGGGGCAGAGCACAAACAGCCAGGCTAGGGCAGGGGCGCCAGTTCTCAGAGTCTGGGGCTTCTCTCCACTCGAGACTCAGTTTCCTTCCTCAGACCGGCTTGGCGCTGGATCCCGTCCAGATCCCACTTCCTGTTCCCTCTTATCGCTCACGTACTCGGGAAGGGCCCTCACATACCCAGCTCCAGCACTCCTGGGTCGCCGTGGGGTGCGCGGATCTGCAGTATCCAGCACGCGCCGCAGCAGCGTACGGGGCGTAGGTTCCCGGTCAGCTCTGCGGGCCGCCATCGGTCCTCCAGCAGTCCCTGTTAACCGCCCAGCCTGCTTCAGGAGGCTTATTCCCGCCGCTGCGTTTAAGAAAAGTCCCGCGATGATGCCGCACAGCACCACGGGAATTGTAGTTCTTGCCCTACCAGTACTCGTGGCGTGGTCTGGGGTGCTTGGAAAATTGGTTGCTTGGAGGCCGCTTTAGCCTAGTTAAGCCTGGGCAAACCTATGCAACCAGTCCAAGTCTTGGTTTTCTCATCTGTAAATTCAGGATGAAATTTACCTAATAAAGGTCTTGTAATGTTTCGAGGAGTTAATATTAAATTCAAAATCTGACGCATAGTAAGCCAGGGCACGTATAAATAGTTGTTATTACTGGAACGTCTCTCATTCACATCTCCCTCTCAAAAGGAATACAGACACTTGGGACAGGAAAAAGAATTTTATCCTATATGTGACCTGGTCAGATTTGGATTTGCAAAGACTGTAGGATCTGTATTTATCAAAAGAGACCAGTTTGTAGGCTTGAAGGCTAGTACGCTGTGATCCACCAGGGATGATACGATCTTCAAACAAGTGTAATTTTGAGATGAATTTCAAAAGTTCTGTTAATACTGTAGATGTTTACCATATTATGTTAGTGCTTTCCATATTTTTCACTAATTGACAATCTCCCTCCCTTTTTGTTCTTTTCTTTTCTTTTTTTTTTT